TGAAAGAAGTGGTACCCAAATAGAGCAAACATTGAGACATGGGGTTCTCTCCTACTTTTTGTAAAACTAATAGAAATCACTTGGATCTGGGGATCTATCGTTCTTTCACGTGAATATTTCATCCATTGCTGTTATTTTGAATGTGTTTTGGTGCATCTTTACCTCTCATTAAATACTGGTTCCCACGGAATAATTATCATCCTCATCTCTTCACTGTTAATACTGGTGAAATTATTCAGCATGTCTGCCATTTCCTAATTTTAATTGGCACTATTACTGTTGCTAATTCAAGTAGCCCCTGACCATGTATGTTTATTTTGATACCTTTTGAAATTTTCTCCTCTTACCTCCGAATTATCTATTTTGTAATCCCTCACTGCTTTTTGTAATTTTTTTCCTTGTTTGCCAAGATGTACACTCTGTAGTTTTATTTAGTTGTAGTCTTAGGTGCTTTTGTTTTTAGTTTTATGTTACCACTTGTCCATGGGTATCTTTTCTGGCATGTAGCTCTCTTGTTCCTTAGAGGTATAATATGGTTCTCTATGACAATAAGTTCTTTTCTGAACACCTTCCATTGATCTTGTATCCTTTTGCCATAAACAGATTTGCTAATTTTTCTGTGAATAGTTTCAGTTTCCCCTATTTAGCCTTGCCTAAATCGAGAATCTTGTCACTTTTTATTTCTAGCTTTGAGTGCTACGTTAGAATGTTTGAGAGTTATAATTATTATTGCAGTCAAGAGTTTGTTTAATCTCTGCTCTTTGCTTCATCCTTGGATTCTGAGACTCATTCTGGTCAATATACACTACACGCCTTCCAAGACGAATATATCCTCCTCAAGATATGGAATTACTCGCACTACTCCAGATCTGGTCCAATCAGCAATTTTTGTATCACTAAGTCATGACTTCTGCCTCCTAGAATTCTAACCTTATTAATTTAAAGGCCAGTATTTTACTAGACATTTTTGATTTTCTGCACCTGTTATTGTCCGTATAATGATCAGTGTGCTTGGACCTGCAAGTCTTTGGATGACCACAGTTTTTCACCGTTTAGAAAATGCAGTACTCTGTTTTTCCCTTTTCTTTGCATATAACCAAGGAATTTTTGATTGGGCAGAAATGATTTTGATTTAACATCTCATCCCCAAGACTGCATCTCTGCTAGTACAAATCCCTTCAGTACGGTATTGCGATGTCAACCTCGGCTTGTACTCAAATTCTAGACTGGGACTTGATCCCCCAATGTTCCAACTCACAAAGTGAGTGCTTTTGAAACAGGACATGTAAATACCTGTGTTCACTGCAATAATTGGACAATGCAGTAGTTTGTTTGAGATGTTTCCTTCTCAAACTAAACACCCTTCATCCTTCAGCTTCAGACTTAATAAGTATATATGCTTTAATATGAGATGTATTTGTTTATTACTGAATGTATTAATTGATAGATCATAGAATCCCCACAGTGTGGAAACAGGCCATTCAGCCTGTTGAGTCCAACTGACTCTCCGAAGAGCGTCCCATCCAGTCCCAACCCCATCCTTGTAACCCTGTATTTCCCATGGCTAATCCACACAGCCTGCATATCCCTGGAAACTATGGGCAATTTAGCATGGCCAGTTCACCTAATCTACACATCTTTGGACTATGGGAGGAAACTAAAACACCTGGAGGAAGCCCACACCGACATGGGGAGAATATCTGTATGGAGTTTGCCCAGTTACTTGAGGATGGAATCAAACTTGGGTTCCTGGTGCCATGAGGCAGCAGTGCTAAGACTGAGATATCATGAAATAGTTGTTACCATATTGCGACTCTGACGTAGTTCACTACGTTGTGAAATCACAATATTTAGGCAAATGCACATAGAGTTTTGGTTTTTGCTTCATAGGGCAGAGCTTGGAAGAAGCAAAGTGGATTGGAATTTCTTGGGTTACATTCAGAGCTATGCTGCTTCCAAATTTGACTTAAAACTTGCATCAAAGATTAAAATTTAATGATAGCTAGCCAGGTGCTGAACTTGGTGCTTGATGGCTATAACATTGATCCACTGACGACTGGTCTTGAGGGAGGAAAACTTTCTGTATTTTTTTGCCAGAAGACTGTCACACCCCTTATGAAAGGATCTTTGTGATCAGTGGTCAGTTACAGGAGAATGTGGCTCCCAACTGAAGCAGGTAAGGGAACTTAGAGGGTGGATGTGTAGGAGCCTAAACTTTTGCAATTGTTTAACCTGTTTCAAGTTCTTTGTTTTGTTTGGGCAAGGACATTGGCTGTAATATGGTTGAGTTAACTGAGCATGACACAGTGGTATGTGAAGCCATTCAGGTGAGGGGAGCAAAAGGAATTTTGTAGTTGTAGGGGATAGTGTGAGGGAGGTACTGACACTTCTGTGCATTAAGGAGTGAGGGTTCAGAAAGCTGCTTTGCTTGTCTGATGCCGCAGTATAAAACCTCTTTTTCAGGGCTGGAGATGAAATTGCATTGGCAGAGGGAGATCCAGTTGTCATAGTCCATTGAAGTACATATTGCTTAAACAGGTCAAGGAAAAAGGTTCTGCATAATTAGTTTGAGGAGCAGCTCGATAAGCAAGGGGTTGAAAGGAGTAGGGGCAGGACTGTGGAGTAATCAGATTAGCCATGGTTTTATTTAATGATGGAGGAGCTTGAGAGGCCTGTTCCTGCACTTAATTTGTCTAAATATAAACCTCAGACAGTGTTCCCTGTACGCTTTTTTTGCAGGGATGCACAGCAATGACTTCCGCAACTGGAAGTAAGTGGTGTAATATGCGTGAGTGTTTGGGGTGCGTTGAGCATGCATGCGCAACGTAGGCATGCAGTTTAAAGGGAACATTGCTCAGAGGTAATCTCAAGATTATGGCAAATTCACACGTACCTCGGTAGAGGACAAAGAACGTTAGAGAAATGTTTGTGTGGCTCAAAGACTGGTGCAGTAGAAGTGAATTCTACTTTGTGGGGCACTGACACCACTGGCATTTGTACTGTTGGGATGGTTTATACCTGAACTGTGTTGAGACCAGTGTTCCAGTAATCCACATAACTGGAGAAGTAAGAGAGTGTTTTAAACTAAGTAGTGGGACCCAGGGATCACATTTGGGCAGACATCTTAGATCAAAGACTGGAGGTAAGGGAAATAATAACAGACTGTATCAATTCTTGGCACAGTATCCATTTACTAAGAGTCAATCAACTGATAAGAATAGAGATTCTGAAATAATAAAGAACTAAAAACTTAAGGCTCAGTATCCAAATGTACATAGCATTGAAAACAGATGAACTTGAATTTAAAGTGCAAATATAAAGAAGGATGTTCTAACAACCATTACAGAGACATCGCCACCTGAATATTGAAGAAATGTGATACTTAGAGAGGACAGAGTGCTAGAAACACGTGGAGGGGTGGCTCTGCTAGTTAATGTTGGTAGCAGCATAGAGAAGATTGCCCTAATTTCAGGGAATTAGCATGTAGAAACTGTTCAGTTAGCAAAGAAAAATGGTGAACGCAACAAATCATTTGTGCAGAATCAATAAGTCAGAGTGGAAGGAAGAAATAATGGAGCTTGTCGGAAAGGTACAGCAATAATCGTGGGATTTTAAACTAAATAACGCAAAAAATCAGGTGGTCGAGGTTAGCTGGATGAGAAGTTCATAGAGTATTTTTGGAGAGTTTCTGAGAATAACACACCCTGGAGTCAGGCGGACAGCAGGATTTGCTGGGCCGTGTATCGTGCAACGAGAGATTTAATTAATGACCTCATAGTTAAAACTCCCCTGGGTAGCAATGATCATAATGTGATGGAATTTTGTTTGGTTTGAGGGAGAGGCTAACATTTTAAACTTCAATAAGAGCAATTGACAGCTTAAAAGCAGAGCTAGCTAAAGTGAGCGAGCAAATTAGGTTAAAGGAAAGGTTAATGGAGATGCACTGGCAGATATTTCAGGCGATATTTCAAAATACATCAAACAAATACATTTAAATGAGGGAAAATTCTGTGGTGAAGACCTGTTATTCCATTGTGTTCTTGCTGTAAATTTTTTGACTCTGATCCAGCATCTTTCTACTGCTCCTATGTGGCATTCTTGCTGCTATTTCCACTGGGTCTCCCTCCTTTCCACTGCTCCATCTCCTTCATGTCACTGTTATTATCCCCATTGCCAGCCTTGCTCCTTTCTGCTGCTTTGTTCTGTTCTTGCTGCTGTTATTCCCACTGCTGGTCTCTCCTTTCCACTGGTCCTCAGCTGTGTTCTCACTGCTTTATTTCTGCTGCTCATTTCCCTTCTTACTGCTGCTCTGTTGTGTTCCAAGGACTGAGTGTCCTGCTTCTGTTAATAACACAGGAACCTGTCTAAATTGAGAAGCAAATTCAAAGGTAATAATCTTGAGCCTTGTACATATTGGCATGGGATAGACAAAAATTGGGCTGAATGACCTATATCTGCTCCTAATTAGTCTGTTCCATTGACTGTGTGCAGTTTAGGGTTTGGTTTCTATGCTACATGACTTTTGAGTCTAAGCTACAGTCCTGCATTTATAATGCACCTGAATATATCTCTGATGTACCAAAACAGTTCCTTCATAATTAATTACTTTGCAGTAAGGAGCATAATAACAAATTTGAACAATTGTTTGACAGACCATTACTTTCGTTTGTAGTTGTTTGTGAAATGGATGTTGTCAAATCACTGGATGAACTCTAACAATGGTATAGATCTTTCAATATGCACCTGAATTGCAGGGTCATGTAGTCAGGGCTTTTGAATGTTTCGTCTAAAAGGCAACACTTAATGTAGTATTCCTTGGAATAGAAATTAATTTCATGATCTTCTGGCTCAGGAGGCAAATATTTGCAATTGATCTAAGTCCCTTTGTATTTTAAACTTTATTTTTGTAAATTACTCCGAATTGTAATTATTGTTTTCCTTCGGTATCTCTTGTCAGATGGGGCCCTACTCGTTTAGATGCAAAACCTCACTATCCTCCCATCAGGAGGGGCTAAAGTTTACCCATGTGACTTGGCTATCCTCCCTTTTCCAAGGCGCTACTATTTACAGGAGCCGTACATGAAATGCTCAGGTTGGGAACTGAGGTGACTGTGCATTATTGTTGTAACACAGAACATTAGTTTTTATCTGTATAAATGCTTGTGATTCATCAATGAAGTGTTTACTCCAATTTCTAATCAAGTCTTTAATAACATTCCCAAAATCCACAAACCTGAATGCCCTGGTCGACCCATTGTCTCCGCCTGCTCCTGCCCCACCGAACTGATCTCCAACTATCTCGACTCCATTTTCTCCCCCTTGGTCCAGGAACTCCCTACCTATGTCCGTGACACCACCCACGCCCTCCACCTCCTCCAGAACTTCCAATTCCCCGGTCCCCAACACCTCATCTTTACCATGGACGTCCAGTCCCTCTACACCTGCATTCCCCATGCAGATGGCCTTAAGGCCCTCCGCTTCTTCCTGTCCCGCAGGCCCGACCAGTCCCCCTCCACTGACACCCTCATCCGCTTAGCTGAACTCGTCCTCACACTCAACAACTTCTCTTTCAATTCCTCCCACTTCCTACAGACAAAGGGGGTAGCCATGGGTACCCGCATGGGCCCAAGCTACGCCTGCCTCTTTGTAGGTTACGTGGAACAATCCCTCTTCCGTACCTACACCGGCCCTAAACCCCACCTCTTCCTCCGTTACATTGATGACTGTATCGGTGCCGCCTCGTGCTCCCACGAGGAGCTCGAACAGTTCATACACTTCACTAACACCTTCCACCCCAACCTTAAATTTACCTGGACCATCTCTAACACCTCTCTCCCCTTCCTGGACCTCTCTGTCTCCATATCGGGCAACCACCTCGAAACCGATATTCATTTCAAGCCCACCGACTCCCACAGCTACCTAGAATACTCCTCCTCCCACCCACCTTCCTGCAAAAATGCCATCCCCTATTCCCAATTCCTTCGCCTCCGCCGCATCTGCTCCCAGGATGAGGCATTCCACTCCCGTACATCTCAGTTGTCCTCGTTTTTCAAGGACCGTAACTTCCCCTCCTCGGTGGTCGAGAACGCCCTCAACCGTGTCTCCCACATCTCCCGCACCTCATCCCTCACACCCCGTCCACGCAATAAAAACCAAAAAAGAATCCCCCTCGTCCTCACGTACCACCCCACCAACCTCCGGATCCAACGCATCATCCTCCGACACTTCCGCCATCTGCAATCCGACCCCACCACCAAAGACATCTTTCCCTCCCCACCTTTATCTGCTTTCCGGAGGGACAACTCTCTCCGTGACTCCCTTGTCCGCTCCACACTCCCCTCCAGCTCCACCACACCCGGCACTTTTCCCTGCAACCGCAGGAAGTGCTACACCTGCCCCCATACCTCCTCCCTCACCCCCATCCCAGGCCCCAAGAAGACTTTCCACATCAAGCAGATGTTCACCTGCACATCTGCCAATGTGGTATACTGCATCCGCTGTACCCGGTGTGGCTTCCTCTACATCGGGGAAACCAAGCGGAGACTCGGGGACCGCTTTGCAGAACACTTACGCTCGGTTCGCAACAAACAACTGCACCTCCCAGTCGCGAACCATTTCAACTCCCCCTCCCATTCCTCAGACGACATGTCCATCCTGGGCCTCCTGCAGTGCCACAACGATGCCACCCGAAGGTTGCAGGAACAGCAACTCATATTCCGCTTGGGAACCCTGCAGCCCAATGGTATCAATGTGGATTTCACAAGTTTCAAAATCTCCCCTCCCCCCACCGCATCCCAAAACCAGTCCAACTCGTCCCTGCCTCCCTAACCTGTTCTTCCTCCCACCTATCCCCTCCTCCCACCTCAAGCCGCACCTCCATCTCCTACCGACCAACCTCATCCCGCCCCCTTGACCTGTCCGTCCTCCCTGGACTGACCTATCCCCTTCCTAACTCCCTACCTACACTCACCTTTCCTGGCCCCATCCCCGCCTCTTCGACCTGTTTGTTTCCTCTCCACCTATCCTCTCCTCTATCCCTCTTCTATCCGCCTCCCACTCTCTCCCTATTTATTTCAAAACCCCCTTCCCCTCCCCCTTTTCTGATGAAGGGTCTAGGCCCGAAACGTCAGCCTCTCTGCTCCTATGATGCTGCTTGGCCTGCTGTGTTCATCCAGCCCTGCACCTTGTTGTCTCGGATTCTCCAGCATCTGCAGTTCCTACTATCTCTTTAATAACATTACCTAGTTTAGATCTGTTTTGCTTGTTTGTGTGGAAATTTTTTTCTAATTTTTCTGTGTTGTTTGAGTTTAAGCAGAGCATACTGGGACTATTAGTGAGATCAAGCAACATCTATGGTGAGAGAAATGGATAATGTTTTGGATCTTTTGTCGGAACCAACTTGAAATGTCAACTGCACAAATGGTGCTTGACCTGATGAGTGTTTCCTTCACTTTCACTTATGTTTCAGATTTCCAACAAGTGTGATATTTTAGCTTCTCATTTGAGGTTTTCTGATGCTTAATTATGTTCTTGTGCAGAATTAAGTCTGCTATTTAGATAGAAATGGTGTGCAATGATATGGGAAAAAGGCAGGAGATCGGCACTAGGTGATAGAGCCGTTGTGAGCACAATGGGCTGAATGACCTCCCTTTGTCATAACAGTTGTGTTTTTGCAAATTAGCCTTAGTCACATTTATTTAGACTGGAGTGGACCACAGCAGCTGCTGACTGATCTTAATTAACAATATTGTAATTTCATTAACAAAAAAGGATTGTTTATAAACTCAATCCCAGATGATTTCAGTTTTTCAAATTGTCAACTTTGTCGATTATAAAAATTTCAGAATTTGAGATTTTAGATATTGCCAGCTTAACTTTGTAATCTTCGTAATCATTAATGTTGACTAATTTTTCACTCTTTTCTGACACTGCAATGGGATAGTTGTGGCTTTCTTCCATTTGATTTTCAAATCTCTTTTTACACCTGATGGCAATTTGGTAAAGGACAGATTTACTACCAATATCAAAATTCTTGGATCTAATGGCTGAGTGTAGTGTCTCTACCTCTGGGCCAGAAGGTAGAGTTCCACCTGCCATGTCTATGTCATGACATGCCTGAATAGATTGAATCAAAATAAGTGGAGAAGCTCCATGTGAAGAACAATTAACGTTGGGCTGGTACTAGAGAAAACAGCATCCTTGGTGATTGAAGAGGCTGTTGAATTCTGTAATAGGGGTGCTAAGTAACGAGCCAAAGTGGGCTTATTCTTCCCAAATAAGTTCGATTTGAGAAAACGTTCAATAATTTCTGGTGAAATATTTTGAACCATAATCAGTTGCTAGGAACACTGCAAACATATTCCATTCTTTAAGACACCATCTCAAATCTCGCTTACATGCTGTAATTGTGTAGCAGTCAGCCGCAATTGAGTGTTATTTAAGTTCTGCAAACAAAATTCTGTGCATATAGATGGCTAAACTTCTGAATTGTGCTGCTGACATTTTATGTCCATCTTTCATTTTTATTTGTTCCCGACACCTTTTCATATAAGGTAGAAGACAGAAGTTCATTTTATTTAAAAAGTTAAAATTTTACAGAAATTTGGTTTGTTAAAACGAGACTGAGTTTTGTTCCAGTGATTTTTAAATTTAAAAGTAAAGCAAAACTTTTTAGTGGTATTTTTCCTAATTAAGTTTGGAAAGTGGATTAATTGAGCTTTTCTACTTGTTAAATTAGAATTAGCTTTTATTGTTACATGTACTCACTCGCATGAGTACAGTGAAAAGTTTACAAGCTGCCACTTAATGGTGCCATCTTGGAGGAGTGTTGGGCCTGGAAGGGACTTTACTGCATGCTTTCATTCCTTAAGTATAAGTCATTACCATCATTCCTTTTAATGAACTTATCCAATCTCATATGATCGTCACCCCTCACACCTTTGAGATTTCCTTTATTTAGATTTAGAACCACAATTTCAGATTGGACTGCTTCACTTTTCATCCTAGTGAACAATTCCATCATGTTATGGGCACTCATCCATTATGAAGCCTATGCAATAAGATTATTGATTGAGCCTTCTCATTGCACAATACGAAATCTAGGATAGTCCGTTCCATACTTCTTCAACCTAGGGTGTAAAATAACAAACTTTTACACACTCCAGAAATTAAACTGGCACGATATTGTTGCTGACGTTTGCCAAGTCAAGATGGATATTAAAGTGACCCGTGATTGCAGTATTGCCTTTGTTACATAATCTCTTTTTTTATTAGTGCTGTAGAGTCCTACAGCATAGAAGTGGCCCATATTCTTGAATGCTATGCTATTTCAAGTGCCTGTCCATGTACTTTTTTAAAGATTTGAGGTTTCCTGCCTCTACTACCCTCCTGGGCAGTGCATTCCAGATTTCCAACATCCTCTGCATAAAAACTTTTCCTCAAATCTTCTCTAAGCTTCCTGTCCTTCACCTTGTAATTATGCTCCCTCATTATTGACACTTCCGTAAGGGGAATAGCTGCTCTTATCCACCCTGTCCATCGCCCTCATAATCTTCCACACCTCAATCAGGCCCCTTCTCAGCCTTCTTTAAAGAAAACAACCCAAGCCTATCTAGCCTCTCTTTAAAATGCTCCAACCCAGAAAATATCCTGGTGAATCTCCTCAGCAGCCACTCTAGTACAGTTACATTGTTCCACACAGTACTCCAGCTGTGGCCTGTCAAAATTTTGGAGAGCTTCACCTCCCTGCTGTTATATCTGTCCCAGATGCTGCCTTAATTACCCCTTTAACCTGTCCTGTTAACCTCGGGGATCTGTGCACTGGGAGGGGGCTACTGGTCTCACATTTTCCCTTGGCTTTGGAAAGGGAGAAACTCCGAAGACTCACCTGAGGACATTTTAGTATATTAAGAGCGCTATATCAATATAAGTTGTGATTTGTAGAATATGTGAGGTTAGACAATATTTTACTTCACTGGTACTACAGTTGTCTGTTTCATAAAGGAAGTTTTGGATGTTAGCAAGATAATCCAAACCACGTGTATTAACCACCTGTTCGAATTTATTCCTCTAGAGGAACTGAGATTAGAAAGATCAATTGAAGTGC